GAAAACATGAGCAATTGCACTGTGGAAGTACGGATACGGTACCGCTTTCGGGTACTGATCTATTTGCACAGAAAACTGAAGCTGAACGAACCAAAAGCGGTCTTATGATGCATTCCAATGAACTTCCCCCGCCTCAAACATTGCTAGCTGATCCTCAGTTCGGAACTCAAATTCATGGAAATCCCGATTTTATTTATCCTACTTACGTGAAAAATGGACGCACACGCGAAAAACGCTACAAGTGCCATAAATGTCCATCGGCGTTTGAGAAAAGAGAACAATATCGAGTGCACATGACTTTACATGGGGCACAGCAGAGGTATAAATGTGAAGCTTGCGATTACTCTGTTAAATATTATGCTAATTATGTTCAGCATATGAAGAAACACCAAGTCAGTGCTGATGCTCAGGCAGCTAGACGTTCCTTGTTAGGCATTTCTGATAATAACAGTAGTCTGGAAAATATTGAAGAAAATAAAGACTACCGTCCGATGAGCTTTGCTCAAAAACAAGCTGAAGCAATAAAAGCATTAAAATCTGAGGCCAAACATCGTTGCAAATCATGCCCCTTTGTTGGATTGACTGCCGCATCTTTAGAAGAACATACCGCTCACCACGGCGGAGAAGGTACCAATAAATGTAACCACTGTGATTATGTATGCCCTCGGGAACAGTCATTAAGTGAACATGAGGGCCTACATTTTCTAGTCGATAATAGTTTAACCCCAGAAGCATATATGAACCCAACAGGTCTGTCTTTAGTTTATCGCAGTGAAGAAAATGACAAAGAAGGTGAAGAATGCATACTTTTTGATGACTCAAATGTTGCTCCTCCTCCAGTCATTAGGGATTCTGAAAAAATTTATGTGGATTTGCCGAAACGCACTGCGAAGAATTAAAATGGATTTTTATATTTAGTTTTAACATTTGGTGTAGTTAATTAAGTGATTTGACAGTGATGTTATTAAATATATATATGAAAATTATGAGCATCGTGTGCCGTTTTTATTGTTTTATTTTTTCTTAAATAGTTAATATATTATATGAAATAATCTTAAATATGAATTAGGTTTCACTAATTTGACTAAATTAAGTAAATCTAACTATATGAAATATAAAATTTATTTATGTATATAGTAATAGTATTTTCATAAATTTATTGTATAACAAATTGCCATATTTCTAATAAAAACATATTTGTATATTTGAGCCAAAGCATAGAAACCAAATATTATAAAATCATTAGAGTTATATTATAATTTGGTTTTATAATAAAGATTATATATATGAACAATATTTATACTTTCATATTATATGTCATAATTTTTTAGGATTCATTGAATAGAATAAATATTTAGTTATGTTGTTCACGAATAATAATTGCTAACCATAATTGTAGAATTCTAAAGTGCAGTTTATAATATAAATTATCACTCAAAATTTGCCAGATTTTTTTTTTGTTAAAATGAATTAAAACTACTAACATATTAATACTTAAATACGTCCGAACAGCTTTGAAAATCAGTCAGTTTACTTGGCGCGGGGTTGACTGACTATAGAGAGCAGTTAAGCAATGAAAAATATTTATTTAATCAATTTGTGATTTTGTGAATATTGAAGTGTTGATTTCTTTTTAGCTGCAATAACATTAGTTTTTAGTAGGTAAGTTCTTCCATATCTTTTGCATGAAATGAGATCGCAAATTTTGACTAGATGTCACATTTTGTCCGCCATAAAAATGGACATTCTTGGGGTGCTTAAAAATTGTTATTGAAATCAAACTGAATCAAAATCAAGGCCTTTTGATGTGTTGCTGGCAGACAATGTAGTATTGTTATATAATATACAATGTTTTGAAAAATCTAAATAAAATGCTTCAAATGCTTGTATATGTGTGTGTGTGGATATAATTTTTTGTCCACGAAATCAACCGATTTGAATGATTTAAAAAACATTCGATTCCTTTTGATGGGAAGACGTGCTCATTAGTTTTTGGTGAATACAGGTCCAGCCGTTTCAAAGATACGGGGAAAAAAGTGCGAAAAACGGTAATTCAGTTTTTGAGAGAACCGAGTACCCGATTTGAATGATTCAAAAAATACTTTACTTGTATGGATGAAATAAAGAATTGGTAAAATTTTCGGTAAGACAGGTTTTGGAGATACAGAAGGAAAAAAATATAATTTGCGGTCAAAAATGATCATTAGACATATGCACATCAAGTTATCAAATATTTTATAGAGATTTTAAACATGTAGACCAATTAATTATAAAATAAATATTGTTACAATTTTTCTGGGTTTCGTACTAAGATTTTTAATTTTTAGAGTTCATTTATACGGTTCAAACAAATTTCAAAATTTTTAGATTTTTTTTCAAAATACATAAATTTTAAATTTACAATTCAGTTTAAAAATGTGTAATTAATCATTGATTAACATATGTTGATTATTAATTTTTCTTGCTTGAATATTGAATTCTGGTACGGGAAGTTCCAGCAATTTGCTTTAAGGCACGATGCCATAGGGATCGTTCAAGTATTACGTAAGCAGATTTATTACAATTATTTACCCCCCTATCCCCTTTGTCAGCAAAAGTAAGCAGAGCTCTTACCCCCTACCCTCAAGCTTACGTAAACATTTTGCAATTAATGTAAAAAAATAAAAATACTACCTATGACGCAATCATCATCCAGACTCCCCAGCCCCCCATGTCAACCCAAAATAAGCAAATCAACAAACCTTCCCCCCTCCCTATAGTGCTTACGTAATACTTCGACGGACCCATACACAACTCGTTTTGTATACGGATCGGGGTGTTAGTGCAACTTGTCGTATGGTTAAATGCTACTTACGATTAGTTTTGTTTGACTTCTCAGTCAGTCTGCTAAATAATATAAATAAGCATTTTTCCTTCATTTTTCGGCTACATTTATACATTATTCTATATTTATTATTTTTACAACCTATTAAGTTAATGGCATTAATAACAAAATATTATTCAAGTTATAGTTAAATCATTATAAGTTATAATTCTATTATTAATAACTTCCCGTTGGGTAATTTATTGTAATGGGCCGAAAATCGGAATTGAAAATTTTTACATTTCTCGACGTTTTGAAGGTTTCTGAACATTTTGGCATACCTCAGAAAAAATGGATGTGTGTGTGTGTGTGTGTATGTATGTATGGATACAAATTTTCGCCCACGTTTTCGGGCGTACGGATCAACCGATTTGAATGGTTTAAAAAACATTCGATTCCTATTGATAGGGAAAAGAGCTTAGTTTTTGGCAAAGGCAGGTCCAGCCGTTTCGGAGATACGGAGCGAAGAATGCAGAAAATAGAAATCGTTTTTTTGAGAGAACTGAGTATCCGATTTGAATGATCTAAAAAACATTCAATTAGTAATGATTGGGAGAAGTGTTTATTAGTTTTTGGCAAGACAGGCGTAGCCATTTCGAAGATACGGAGCTGGATATGTAAAAAAATGGCAGTTTTTGAGAGAACTAAGCGTCCGATTTAAATGATTCAAAGAACTTTCTGCTTGTCTTAACAAAATAATTGATCTTGGAAAATAAAATTGTTTAAACTTTTTTTTTTTTTAATTTTTTGTATATCGAAAATAATTCAGATTTTATTTTCAATTCTGACTATAGTTCTAATATACTTTAAACAAATAATTCCAACTTTGCAATTCAGTTTATATAATTCTTATAAATATTATAGACAATGTTACAATATTTATAATAATCTATTTGAAAACATTCAGTATTCCTCGAACATTTCGTTACGGTACGGGAAGTTCCAGCAATTTGCCTTAAGGCACGATGCCACCCAAACCACAAGTTATAATTTAAGTTCAATATTTTAATCGCTTATAACAACGATATAAAGTCTTTTCCTCGACTGGGAGCGTGGCGTCTCTTGTAATCCGGCTACTCGGAGGTCAGATTTCGTGGATGTCTTGAGGTCGGGATCAACTGTGGCCTGGTGGCGCATGTTGACCGGACGTCCGCACTAAGCTCGCCATCGACATGGGTACCCCGAGGGAGCTCGGGGTGTTCAGGTTGTCTAAGGAGGGGCGAACCGGGCCAGAGGGGACACCCAGCAGCCAAGAGCCCCCGTGGTGAGCAGTAGTGGGATCGCGTCCGGGAGTGCGTGCCTTGTCGCAGCCCAACCGATACAGATAGACCGAAATCTTTTTTTTTCGTTTTATATATTAATTTGTTTATATTTGTAATGATTTATGCAAATAATTACTCTTAACTCGGAAAACTGAGTGAGTTATGTTGTTTTATGTTTTTTATTGCTGGCATATGTTTAGTAGACCGAAGTACAACGCAGGCGCGTCGCATGATGCACCCTGTTTAGGCGAAATTTTAAGAATACAAATTTTATATTAGAACTTTATGCAGATTTGCAATACTTTAAATATTTTTTATAACTAGTGGTGCATGGCATCGTACCTTAAGGCAAATTGCTGAAACTTCCCGTACCAAAAATACATTTTTTAAAAAACGTTAATTTTTTTTTAAACTTTGAAAATGAAAATAGATTTTTGAGAACTTTCAAATTTTTTAAAAGAATTGACTTTTTTGGGAGAAAAAATTTTTTTTTTTTTTTTAAATATTTTCGAAATTTTGAACTTTTTCACAAAGCAATCGCACTGCTTCAGCTGCACAGAAACGAAGTATCGAAGCGCGTAAGCGCCGCGTCGCCGGCTTATGGACAAATGATGTTACGGAATAGTAATGTAAACCAAATTGATACACATTATTAAAATCTCCATAAAATATCTGATAATTTGATGTGCATATGTCTAATGATTATTTTTGGCCGCCAAATGACATTTTTTTACCTTTTTTACTAGATCTCCGAAACTGCTAAAAATGCCTTCCCAAAAGTTTAATAAAGTTATCATCTTATTTATACAAGTAAAATGTTTGTGAAATAATAAAATTGGACGCCCCGTTCTTTTAAAAACTGAGTTACCGTTTTTAGCACTTTTTGCCTCGTATCTTCGAAATGGCTAGATCTGCCTGTGCCAAAAACTAATCAGCACGTCTCCTTATCAATAGGAATCGAATGTTTTTTAAATAATTGAAATTGGTTGAACCGTGTTCCCGAAATCGTCGTCGAAAATTTGTATCCGCACGCACATACACACACGTTCACACGCACATACATCCATTTTTTCTAAGGTATGCCAAAATGTTCAGAAACCTTTGAAACGTAAAGATATATAAAAAATTTCATTTTCGATTTTTTTGAGATTATTATGACTACGGGAAGTTTATAATTTTTATTATAACTTGTTTGGATTTCATAAAATTATTTATATTTACACTTATATATTATATATGTCTATATATGGTATATTTTTCAATGTTTCAAAATGTAATTTTATAAAATTTTACATCGGTTATTATTGATAAATTCAAAATTCGTCTTATCAATATTTGTTTTTAAAAAAATATTGGTATTAGTCAATGCCTGTAATTAATTATATTATTTAAACAAATTTCGATTTTGAATAATTTTTTAACTTATTGTTTTGAGTTATAATTGTATCTTCAGATATGTTTTATCTATAACATTTTTTTAAATATATTGTGCGAATATTCTATGATTCAAAGTATTTACAAAATGTTAATGATTTAAATTAGTAAATCAATTAATTTTTTTATTAAAAGATTTCGGTCTGTCTTTATCGACTGGCTGCTAGAAGGCGCACACTCCTGGGCGCGATCCCACTACTGTCAGCCACGGGAGCTTTTGGCTGCTCAGTGTCCTCTCTGGCCCGATTCGCTCCTCCTTAGACGACCTGAACACTCCAGGCTCCCCAAGAGTGTCCATGTCGATGACCAACTTAGTGCGGACGTCCGGTCAACATGAACG